CCCACCCATTCAAGATAGCTTCGTCTCGACACGTATGAGCTGTTCCGCATTTGTCAGGATTGTATGATGCTCATGATTGGGTTGCAGGGCAGTATCAATTCCAACCGAGCTGCATTTCCGCAGACTCCACATCTGAATCAGCCCGAGATCAATCCATGGTCGCCTCATCATACGAGATGTACCGTGCGCCGCACGGGTCACCCTACACCGCGCCCATGGGACACCGACCCTTCGCCCACCCACAACAGCGACAAAACGAGTACGCCCCCGGACGACTACCTGTTGATAGCATCTACTCGCCACGAGAGCCGGTATCAGTGCCAACTATGGTGCCACCCTTCATCCCTGCACCCGTCCAGCAAGCGTCGCCTGCACCGTCTTTTGAGTACACGCCACGTGGACCATCTGTACTGCAACCTCTTGTTTATACACCCCAAGGTTCGCCTGCGCCATCCATCAGACATCTGCGAGGCCTACCGGGTGCGCTACCTGCTGTTGGCTCAGGGTGGCAGCATGGCCCATTTGCTACGCCTCAACGTATTCATTCAGCGCTACAGATGCCATGGCCAGGCGTGTCGCCACCTCATCCTACACCGCCTATCATGTATGCTGCCCAAGGCATACCATATAGTAGGTACACTGTGTCACCTTTTCCAGCACTCCATTATGCATCTACGACTCCTGTCCATACGACACCATCCGGCTCGCGTACAGTAGCAATGCCACAGACATACTCTCGAGTCCCTACTGCTGACATCTACCCTGTGCACTATGGATCATCTATACCTGTATCAAACTCGCCACCTCCCCCTAATGCACCGAGTCCCACAGAACCATCCTCGTCTTCCACTCCGTGGAGATCATTGTAATTATCATATGTAATCACATTGTCATTGCAGTTGTCAAAAACGGTACCATTGTCCAGCACTGATGTCTCCGGATCGGGCGTGTCCTTTGCTTCCACACCCGCCCCACCAATTGGATAGCCAACTGCAGGGTCAAACGTCGTCGACTTGATGTACTGAGAAAACTTCCCATTTTGCCAGGCCCGTGCGCCAATATTGAATACATCGACAATCGCGGACTGAGGTTGGTCATTTGCGCCCGAACTCTTCTTTTTCCCTTTGGATTTGCGGGGTGGTGCTGGAACGAAACGAGGCTTGTCCCGTGACAAGGTATGTAGGCCCTCATTGATCATGTCTTCGACCAAAACTCGCATGTCGTTCTGGAATGATATCTCTTTGTGTCGTCGCCGGCGGTCAGGGTCACCGAAGAATCGTGCCACGAGGTGAGATATATCCCGGAAAGCCTCCACACTCGCCGAACCTTTTGCCATGATGTACTCAATCGTGACAGCATTTCCCGATGCAATGAAGACACGCTGCAAAAGTGACCCATCACTCAGATTCAATTTTGATCCTGGACTGGACCAAATTGAACGCTCACCTTGACCCAGAAATTACACTGCTCGAGGTACAGATCGGCTGCGATCCATCGACCATGAACTCCCCATCGATTCACAAACCATGCCTTCTCCAACGCTGTCCGCAACGCAGTGGGAAGTTCGTACTTCCACTTGACGTGAACCTCGACACACTCGCGCGCGTAGTTGTGCTGACCTGCGCCTTCAAAAGAAAACGCCCAGTACTTCAACACTCGAAGGACACGGCCCGCATCCGCATGTGCTACGGCATGCTCGAATTCGCAGAAGAAGAGGGCATCGCGGATGAAGTAGATCGAGTGTGCAAGGCAGTCGTCCCCAATGGACTGAGCCTTGATCGCCTCGCTTCCCACCGTGAACCGCTCTCCAATCTCCCTAGTGACTTCATGGAGATCCTTGAGTGATGGCGTCCAATTCTTCAGGTCATCCCAGGACCCGAGGCCCTTGATAACGCTGATGCTAATTCCTCAGTAAGCCATACACAGTTGAAGCACCATCGAACGCACATCACGCAATGCAGCAGCCTCGCAATCAGTGAATGCCTTATTAAGGCCTTTGCTGCAGCATAATTCGGCTTAGAGGCGTCCCAGGTGCGATGTAGGAGTCCTTTATGAGTGGCCAGTGACGAACGATCCAGAGTCGAGTTGCCGAAGTGAACACGCATAAGCATGTGAGTCGCTTGCAGGGCAAAATGCCATAGCGCACTCGTTTCTTCGACGTATTCGAGGCGCTCCATAGAATCCACGTCGTCCACACGCTCGCGTCTCGCAACACGCAGATTTCGCGCAGTAAGCCAGTCTCCTTGCATGATCTTCGTCTTGCTAGCCCATTCTTCCTCGGTGAGAGTAGACCGCTCCTGCATATCCTTCAAAACCTCGATAACACCCTTTTTAGACCCCTCGTTGACATCGAAAACGCCAAAGGGCCGAAAATCGGTTACCTCAGGCGCCAACGGCCGGTCTCGTGGCATCGCATCTGCGAAGGCCTCTAGCATTTGGCCTCGGCCCTCCCAGTTTTGGCTACCAGGTGTGTACCGTATCAACATCTCGCTAGGGCAGAGCACGGGTACACCCGCGGGTGTCCCGAGGTGTACCCGTACCCTTACCCGCCCGGGTACAGACCCGCGACAGCGGGTACGGGTTCTGCACGGGTGCAGGCGGGTCTGCGGGTCCACGGGTAAGTGGGCGGGTCCGCAGGTAAGTGAGTGGGCGTGGATGGGTGGGCAACTTGAACCACATAGGTGCTCGGTTGATATGGGTTGCACGCGCCCCGGCCCTGCCGTCGCGGTCACCCGTGTTTGCTCACGCGCGTCCCGTTCGTCGGCCGTGCTTGCGCGCTGGGCATTCGCCCTGTGTGCTCGCGGTCACCGTGCGTGTATTGCTCGTCTGCACTCTGGGGCCGCCTGTTTCCCTCTCGCTCGCTTTCCCTCTCGCCCGCCTGCCTTCTCGCTCGCCCACCCACCCGCTCTCCCCCTCAGCTTCTCTTCCACTCGCCCAATCACTTGTCTCCTTGATCACTCGCCCCCTTGCCTACTCGTCCGCCCGTCCGCCCATCCGCCTGCCTGCTCGTCCGCCCTCCCGCTCGTCCGCCCGCCCTCCCGCTCGTCCATCCGCTCGCCTGCCCGCGCGCCCATTTTCCCGCCTGCGCGTACATCCGTCGGTTGTGTCTGCGTGCTGGGCATTCGCCCAGCGCGCTCGCGGTGGGCGTGTGCGGTCGCCTCCTCGTCCGCCCGCCGACTCACTCGCTCGCTTGCCGTTCTGCTCGCCCGCCCGCCCGTCCGTCCACCCGTCCGCCCGATGGCTCCTGACCGTTTGTCGGCCTTGTATGTGTGCCCGCGGTCGTCGTACGCGTCGCGCAGCACGTCGACGCGTCCTGCGCCTGCCGTTAGTGAGCCCGCGCGCGTATGCCTGCACTCACCTGCAGACCCTCACCCTCGCCCTCGTCGCGCCCTCGCCCTCGCCTCGCTCTCGCCCGTCCCCGCGAGCCAATCACCCGTTCCCGCACTCCGCTCGTCCACGCCGGCCGTCCGGTTGTCGCTGCGCCCAGGCCCGTGGTGTGTCCGTCGGCTGCGGTGTGCGGTATAGTCGTTGATCAGTGATCATGCCTGCCAGCACGGTCACGATGCAGGCGTCGTTTTGTGCTCCCAGGCCCGAGGAGATCGTCCTCATGCACCAATAGGATGCGAACACGATGGAGAGCACATCCTTCCCGAGCACTTCCCAGAGTTTGGCTAAGAAACAGTGCGTGAGTACGGGTGGGTGGACAAGAACAGGCGGGCAGTCGAGAAGCCGCGAGCGAGTGTACAGGCAAGAGGCAGGCTCTGAACCGAGGGTGGGCGCGAGAAGTCGACGGCGCGGGCACGAGAAGGACGGCGTGCTGCAGTTTACCTAGTATGAGGGTGATGACAAGCACTTAAGAACAGGTGGATGTGTGAGATAGCAAGATGGCGAAGAAGGGCGGGTAGTAGGCGAGGCGAGGGAGGGCAACGAGTGCGGGCGAACTGGCAAGCTGGCAGATGAGCCGGCAGATGAGCGAACAAGCAGGGGTGTATGCCGGTGGGCAAGACGGCGGCAGACAGGCAAGAGAGAGTGGATGAGCGAGTTGGCGAGAAGGCGAGCCTGAGCAGATGAGAGCGGGCAACCGAGTGGGCGAGCGAGCAGGCGTGTGAGAGCAACGGCGAGCAGACAAGGACGAGTAAACGGGCGAGAGCGGGAGGGAGGGAGAACGAGCATGAAGGCGAGGGCAGCAGGCGAGACAGTCGGCGAGGACAGGCAAGCAAAAACGACTAGTAGTTAGGGCAGGCAGGCATGAACGGGCGGGCGTGAGAGGGCCAGCGGATGGGAAGCACAAATCTGCGGGATGCGCAGACGAGCAGGCAAGTAGGCACCGCGAGCTCGTTGCTCATTGATGCACCTACTCACACAGCGAAGAGTTGGGTACAAAAATCATCAGTGAGTGCGCTGAAGACTCACCTTCAAGCATTTTTCGTGCCTCCGCATTCCTTTTGTTCACTACTCCAACCCCTCGTCCTCCGCTTCCTTTGTGTACGCTCATTGCGCTCGGGCGTGTCGTCTCGGGGCCGTTGTATCTTCAGCTTTTGAATGCGCGTTCACGCGGCGGGATGCGCAGACTGCCTCTGGCGCGTCGCGGTTGTTCGAGTCGGTGGCGGCAGCACCGCGGGCGGCGTCTGGCGTTTGCACGAGTGACGGGTACGGTCACGGGTACGGGTTTGGTCCGGGTCACAAAAACGTGACCCGGACCCGTACCCGGGCGTACCCGTACCCGGTACCCGCGCGGGTTCCCACGACCCGTGCTCTGCACTACATCTCGCCAATGAGACTGATGAAGGCCTTCTCCATGTGTTCATCGTCAGCATGAGTTGGGCGAATGTCTGAAAGGCGTGCCTTCGCTCGCTGGCCCCGGAGAGCAAGCTTCGCCTTGAGGTTCAATGCTTCTTCGTCAAGCCCGGGCAACAGAACAACGGCCGCATTCGTCGCATGGATCATTGAATGACGGTTCGTGATTCGCTCCTGGAATTTACGCAGATACAAGTTGATGTTGTCGAAGATGATGTAGAATATTGCACTACTGGTGAGCACCGCGATGGCGAGGCGTATGGCATCCTTCGACATCTGCACTTTCATGTCCTCTATAGTCGTGATTGAAACTGACAGGCCGATATTACTGAGCATGTTCAGCACACGAGAACTGGTCCCTGAGATGCCGAAGAAAAGGCCAAGGGGGAGTGCGAGTACATTTGTGGCACGATTTCGGACAAAGGCAAGCATCATGATTGCCGTGATGATCGCCTGAATACAGTGAGTCTCGAGCCTTATACCACAAATGTGAAGCTACGCACTATCATCGGGTTACGGGTGAATCCCAGGTACTGCGCACGCCAATCCTCAGGTGCCGGCCCCGTGTCCGCAAATGGATCACTGGCAATACCCTCCGAATGTCCTCCGCCTCCGGCGCCTTCGACTGGCTCGCTCCCAACAGGTGGTACATCCTCTTCTCCATCCGACGTCTCCCCTGCACGACGTTCCAGTGCCTCGGCCTTGCGCGCGAGATCCTTGCGGTACCGATTTGGCGAGGCAGTGAAGACATGGAGATACGAAATGGTGAAAGGCGCCAGTGTTCGCAGCCTATCTGCAACTGCCGCGGGATCCAAGAGTCTCCGCACATCGGCTATGGTGAGTTCTTTAAGCCGCACTCTGAACGAGTTCTCTTGAATAACACGGTTGCTCTCGTCAAGCGCGATCTTGTGCGCGCAGGGCTTGACAATCCGCTCGTGGAGCTCGCCTCGGGTACGTGGCCACTCGTCGTGCCAAATATTGTATAGTTCTGATGGCCCATACCACTCGCTCTGGCCTGCGCCTTTCCAGATGCTCAGGAAGGTTCCTGCTCGCTCGCGGACCACCCGGATCTTGCTGGTGAAAGCGAACGTCAGCAGCTTGCTGAGTGCTAGCCCGAGGTATATTATCAATGAAAAGACAAGGTGCAGCTTGTCGGCCTCCGAGGTTGGCTGAGCAGTGTGTTCGAAGAGGTCATCCCAGTAGGCTCGGTCGAATTTCAGATTTTCTGACATGTCTCGCAGCAGGACGAGACAGATAAGAGTTTGGCTTACACATGGCGACCTCGGAAAACTCCTGCACCATTTCTCCAGAGCTTCGCGGAAGCAAATCCGCCAGTACGACAGCTCAGGACGCGCCGACGCGCGACGCGCCACTTTGGGTTTACGCGCATGTAACGCGTCTGTCACACGCAGACACGACCTGTCACGTCCCACCCTCCGTCTACTGTATGATCTCTGCAGGAGATGCAACTTCAACAGGGCATCCCCAATTGCCTGGGATAATGAGTATGCATTTAATGACTATTGCTGAGTAGTTTTGGTACACCCGGAGGCATATGTTGTATGTATCGAGGCCTCGCGCGCGTCAGGCTGTGCTTCGACAGAGTCACCCTCGCGCGATGTTTGTAGCATCGCACCAATGCAGTCGTAAAACACCGTATATTCACAGAATGTTCATTGGACTCGTAGCTACAGGTTTCTCACTGACAGCGAGGGAATCGGAGTATGTGGAAGCACGCTGCATTTTTGCGACTGACCCCCCTAGTCCCAGCCACTTTCGAGCAAGCCCCTTCTCCGAAGGTGGCCGGGTACCGGCCCGGAGACAGGGCTTGCTCCGAACCTAGGCCATACCCATGAAGTCATGCTCGACTCCGAGTCGGATGTAGCTTATTGTGAAGCAACGAGGTGCGTCAGCGAATATACAATCACGTATGCAACAGACTGTTGATCTCATGCAGGATTCTGGCATGTCCGAGTTGACGAAAATGCAGCCCGCCGAGGGTCCGGACTCCGTTCGAAGTGACAGTGTGCCGGTAAGTGCTCTCATTTAACATTAGTGTGCGTTGCTCACGAACACAGCCCCGGACGTCAAGTATCAGTGTCATAGACTCGTAACGGCCATGTGGTTGTTGCGTATCCGCATATGGTATGTCTGTCAGTTGCAGCGATCGGTATGACTGTACTAACGAACACAGGTCAACAGGCATGAAGTAGTACGAGGATACTATAGCACTCCCACGTTTGATGTGCCTAATGAGGTGAGTACCACTACTTGAAGGGCACACGTCGCCGGTCGTGCTCACACGCAGTGTATATGTAGTCGCACCTTCTGTACTCGGCCAACGGAGTACTGGTAGTACAACTAATGGCGGCGCAGGCGGGTGTCACCCGATGCGCGAGTGAGCACTTGTCACGTCAAGTTAGAGCTGTGTCGTCCACGGCGTGAGGATCCTGCGGCTGGCATATTGTAGGTGTCTTGTTGTCCGTTATGTCTTGCAATAGACTGATCATCGCGTTCTCAGCCCATTGACGTGTCCGATTAATGTGCATAGTCGGGTAATGAACATTGTCATTTGAGCCGTACTCGAACTATCAGTTGCAAGGGGTATCGATCCCCAAGTCTTGCATTTGATGAACATGTTCCAAGGTCAGTCAATGCCACAGCTATCCTGGAACGGCAATATATATATGGAACGCCGTCCGGCGAGCGAGGTATTACGGCCAGGTTCGTGGTGAACGTCGATCGGTCCACGTCGATGCACTGACCCATGTTTGTTTGATGTAGCTTCTGACTAACGTTAAACAAAGAGTGCGTCCATCGTGCGGTATGCATCCTGTTCGAGTCGGCCATGCATGGTAATGTATATATGGATCGTCTTCCCGCGAGCGGGCTCTCCGTGAGGGTGCGTAGGTAGCCATATCCATACTCGCAGTGACACTGACTGACATTCGATGAGCAGGGGTGTCCTTCTAATGTCATCCGAGGACGATCCGGGCCAACAACAGGGAGCACGTCGACACTGTCAGGCTCCCGGACGTTCTCAGCTGCCCCGCTTGTGACCGCGGCCGACCGGCGCGCGGGTAGTCGTGTGTTCATGCGCTACGAGTCATGATCAACGACGAAGGCAGCACTTGTAGGGCTGCGAGACTGACTAGTAAGTGTGTCAACATGCATTGTGATAATTAGACTCTGACGGGATATGCGCTGGGCGGAGCTTCTCGCACTTGCTATGTACAACGCCTCGAACAGCGATGTATATATGTATCGATGTCCGGCGAGCAACGTCTCGGGCCATGTACTGGGTGCGTCGTCGATTAACTCTACCTGCTGACTTTGTAGTGCCCGGACCAGCAATGTATGTATATATCGACTTCCGGCGAGCGACATCCCGGGCTGTGCGCAAGGTATGTCGTCCATCTGACACCGACACTATATCACTGACATGACGTGCCGTGTCGCCGCTGACATGCGCGTGCAGGATCGGGGCACGAGTGCTGCCCCTCCCTCGCTGCACCGCCGAGCTGTCGCCTCGTCGTGCATGTCGGTGTATGTACAGATCGCCGTCCGGCGAGCGGGTGACTTTGACCAGTAAGCAGTCCGTCTCGCCTCTTGGTTCGCCGATGCTGACGCAGGGACAGGGCGCCGAGACTGGCGTGTCGTGCGCGCCGCTAGTGTCCTTCCGGGTGAGTGTGCATTTGTGCTGAACTTGTGACGGCACTAATTGCATGTGCGAGGACGAGGCGCGTCAACGACCCGTCTACTGTCGTCACAGGCCGATGTCGACTCTTCGGTCGTACCTCGCAGTCGCTCACGAGGAGCCATTCCACTTGGTGAGTCGCCCGTCGCGCGTTGGCAAGCGGCATGTGCTGACAAATCGACAGGGACCGTCGCGAAGACTATTAGGGGTTTAACGAGATGGCATTGACTGTGTATGTACATGCGACGACCGACGGACGAGAGGGACGCACCTGTGGTGGGAGGGCTACGCGTTGCAGTGTGCGACGCGTAGAGGGCCTCTCTTTTTTTTTTGTTGTCTCGTCAGCATGTACATACCGGGACCCGTTTGCGCGTGGCAGAAAAAGTTTCAGCACCCCATAACACGCGAGCTCCCTGCGGGGAGGCGAAACTATGCCCGAAAAAAGTACGTTTTTGGACTTGGGAAAAACGTCGCGTTGTCTCTCGCCAGCCAATCGCCGTGCTCGCACGTAAAACACCCACGCCCGCCGTGCGACGATCCCCGCCCCGCCCCCACGCCGCACTCCCACGCGTACTTCCCACGAAAAGCACACACATTCGGGTGCTGCTAAGTACGGAGATTCTGTAGATCTTCATCTTCGTCCAGGGCATGAAGGTCAAGCTGATGGGCATAACCCCGCCAATCGGGAAGCTCCGCCCAGAGATGGTGATGAGGTACTGCATCTGTGTGTCCCACTGGCGTTCGACGATGATGCTCTCCGTCTCCTCGAGGTCATCTTCCGACGGACACGTAACGACCGTGATCTCCTGCGCCGCGGACATCTTCGTCGTGAACGTCCCCGGCCGGTGCGCATACGCCTTCAGCTTCCACGTCACGTGCCCGAGGTCGCAGTGCAGCGTCGGCGGCGAGCTCGCGGGGATCGCGAAAGAGATCGGCCATGTGTACGTGCCTTCACGACGGCAGGACCGCAGATGGACTAAGTTGAGCTTCGGGGGTAGACGAGCCGTAAGGAGCGATGCTCACCTTTTTTGAACTCCTTCCAGCCTTCTCCCCACTCCTTCCCATCCTCGCCGTCTAATCCCAGCACTTCGCTGACCCGTTCGAGGGTAGAGCGCTCGCGGTCCCTCGCAGGCGGGCCCTCGTCGTCGTCGTGGAATACGTCTTCGAATGGACGCTCGCGCGTGCGCCCCCGAGGGGGCGTAGCGTCGCCTCCGTAGCCGTCCGGGAACGACGACCGCGAGCGTGAGCGCACACGGTCCATGACGACGTCCAGCAGCGCGTTCGACACGTTCGCGAAGCTGAACCGCTTGTGCTTCCGTCCGCGCCCGTCGTCCGCATGCTCCCGGAAGTCCGACGAGCCTTCGCGCTGATGGCGCTGATTGCGCTGGTCGGCCGAACGCGAGAGCGAACGCTGCGTGGCCGGGGCGGACGCAGGCGGGGTGGGCAGAGGGCTATGGCTGCTCCCGACGAGGAACTCAGGGCGTTCGTCGTCTAACGACGGGCGCGCAGATTGCGAGTGCGAGCTGCTGGTTAGGCGCAGGCTAGACGCGGAGGACCCGCCCATCCGGTGAAGAGGAGACGGGTGTCGCGCAGATGCGAGGCCTACGGTGTGGTCAGTACGCGTGTACCCGGGGACGAGTGAAAAGACCCACTGCTGCGTTCCGTGTCCGGTTCGGAGCTGCGACCCTGGCCGTACTCGTCCGCAGACGAGGCAGCCTCCTGGGTGGGTAGCTCGTCGACGGTGTTCATGCGATGCGAGACGGACGCGGCGGGGGTGAGGAGCGTCGGACTGAATGCATGCTGTGGAACGGTCTCTGCGGTCGGTGTGTAAGGGGGTGAAGCGGTCAATATAGGGGGGAGGCCGTTGTCGCGGTGCGCGACGTAATCACGCTGGAAATACGTCTGGTCGACGCTCATATTTCGCCTCGACGCGAATGCGTTGTTCAGAAGTGCCGGTGGCGGACCTCGGTCACGGCCCCTCCGCTCATCACTGGGCGGCCGGTGAACCGTACCGTGCATATCTTCACTCGAGGATTCGGAGCGGTCGTCGTCATCACGGTCGAGCGCAATGCCAGGACCCACGGAGAGCGTGCGCCGGCTGTTCCTGTATGGTGTCTCCGAGCCAGCGCGAAAGAGGATATATGACTGTGCGTAGATCTCGTGCTCCTCGGTGACTTCGACACGGCGCGCGCCCACTCCTTTCAAGTGAAGAAAGAGCGGTGAGAAACTCCCAGAGAACGGCGGCAGTTTTGCGACATACCTTCAGGCCAGGCCGTGCTCGTCTTTCCCACCAGCTCGATTTCAATGCTGGAGATCTTCGTCGGCTTGACGAGCGTGAGCGTTAGCAGCCCACGAAGCATGCCAGGAGGGGCGTCGGCCTGCATGTTGCGGGGTCTGCCGGTGGCATCTCCTGCGCGGAGGAACACCACGGACTCTGCGAGACGGATGTCGAAGGCATTCTTCTGGGGCTGTTTCGTCGGCGTAGGCATGTATACCGGAGACCAAGAGGCAAGGAGACAGGAGGCGGTGGCCCGAGGCGGCGGTCGTCCTAAAATACGGGGACTGGAGTTCCGCTCCGAGTGCCTGTCTGCACGGCCGATCAAGATCCGGCCAAAGCGGACGTCAGTCGCAGAAAATGGCAGAAAAAATCGATAGCGGTGCATGTGGACTCACCAACGTGTTACACCCGGTACTGTCGGTTCTCGGCCACGGTCGCAACAGAGCAACGAGCAACGTTTCTGGCTACAGCTCGTCCATGGGTTGTGAGAAAAAGGCTAGACAGGGGCGAGTCACGGCCCGATATCGTCACGGGATACTCACTGTTATGGTACTCTTCCGCGAATTGTGTTCTCTCTGCCAGCGTTGGCGCAATTTGAATGTGTTGGCGCAAGGAATGATGAAAGACTGCACCGTTATCACCGCATAAAATACGGATGTGAGACCTTGGCAGTCTGAAACTAAGCGGTGCTCGCCACAATGCTCAGTTTGCTTGGAGAAAGAGGGAGAGTGTCAGGTCACATCATACAAATACAGCATACTTCAACCACCTACCTGATGAGTGAGAGGGAGAGAGCGTAGGCTCTGAAGACCGCTGCATGAGGACCCCGGGCAAGGCGCTTATAGGTCCGATCCGAAAACCCCGGATTTTGGGCCCTTATGTCCGCACGATTTTGACCCCTGTTATGTCCGCATCAGGATAGGACCTACCTGTAGGGGTGCTTTATGGCCGCATGACGGATCGGACCTCTCAAAAATGCGGTAGAATCGGAGAAAATGCCCAAAAATTCGCTGCATGCCCTACACACTGCGTCGGAGTAGACTACCAAAAAAAACGCCCACATTTGTCTCCCTTTATCGTCAAAACGGTTGCATGAGTAGCACATACGCATAAGCGCCAAGTACTATATCTCGAGCGCCCAACATTCGTAAGTACGAATGTACTCTAGGTGGCGCGTCACAAGAGTAGTCGCTAATTGACACGGATGGTGAGAGACAATCAAGCGGGCAAGTCAGTCGGTTGCGAGATGATAGCGAACATGGGAGGTCAGGAGTACTGATATGGTCCTTCATGACTTGGTTGGTACTCGAGGTCGACGAAGAACCTGGCGCATCTTTAGAATGAGGTCGACTGTGAGATTGTTTGTAGCTGGTCACTGCCAGTGGCCCTAAGGCTCGTGACCGATGGCTTGCTTGACCGCGGCGATGGCAGTCGCATATTTGAAGCTCGCGAACAATGGTGTGTAGCCGACCGAGACGAATGCGAATGCGAGAAAACGCTCTCGGTAGAGTACGAGAAATGCGCCCCTGCGAGTCAAACACTTGGTCAGTATGCCTGGGTAGCCAACATCCTATGGGCCAATTGCTCTGGCTGAACCTGGCCCAAGCGGTACCACTACGACCACATCGCGTCTCAATGAGACGTGCAGCGTCGGATGCCCTTTCCAAGCTACTGAAGCACTCACCAGTGGTGTTCTGGTGTTCTGTCACGATCGCCTTGCTCACGTTCTCACGTCCGCGCATATCGCGCTGTGTTTGTTGTCTCCGCCGGCTTGTCCATGCCGCCGTAGCCAAGCATGTCAGGCACAATGATTGAGTGGCCCCCGCCTTGAAGAACGCGTACGTGTCTCCGGACGAGTGGTAGCCTTCGAAGAACGAGATGCTTTAGTCTCCTGTATCTTGGTCAGCCAAACCAGGTCGAACGCACCCTACTAGCAATCTTCATGTGTCCGTGTCGAGCCATCGGCGCGTGATCTGCGAGAGAGGCTAATGAGACGCGTTGCGCGCGTAAATCCTACACTGCGGTGCATCAATTCAGCGTGAATACAGCTATGCATAGTATTCTGTAAACAGGAGGCGAGACTCACATTGTAGTACAATACAAGCTTGGCCAGTCTACCAAGTCCCACATGACGGACGCATTCAGAGAATCTGCAATTCCGGGGTCCCAATTATAACAAGCAGTTGCATGCGATCATCGTAGCGAATCAGTAAGTTATCTTCCAGGCCCGAGCAGATACCATCACCCACGATGCCATCCACAGAAGTTAGTAGCATTGCTTAGCTGAGAGATCCACGACGTGAAGTATGCTACGTACCAATCTCGCGATACTGGCTTCGCCGTCAAAGGCGACCACGAGGTCAATTTATGGCCGCATACGGATAGGACATGCGAACGTGACAGCATCTATGGCCGCATATGGATCGGACATGGCGCGAGCTCTGGCAGGTCTATGGCCGCACCTAGACTCGATCCCAGTCCTTAGGGTCGCTTGCCTCCTTTTAGCCACCCCTCTATATGGTAACTTTTCAATCCGAGAATGGTAACCGGAGTGTGAAAAGGAGACAAAGCGTTCTGGCGAACGAGAGGAGTGCCACGACGGAGTTTGAAACGTTTGCCAGAAAAGGATGGGTACGAGCCTAGGCCGCACCAGGATCGGACATGAGCGCCCTATTTGGGCTGGTTATGGCCGCACCAGGATCGGACGTATAAGCGCCTTGCCCGGGGTCCTGCTGCATGCAGCTCGTCAGGCGAGTGCACGTGACTTGTATGACGGCCTCGCGAGCAGGTTTTGCTGTGAACTTTTGGTGAACTTCTAAGCTTCATTGGGCGCGCAACATACTTAGCTAACCTGGAGCAACTTGACCATATGCACAACAGACGAGGGGTGTCTGACGTTATGCGAATAGTTGTAAGTACAGATTGGACCTACCTTCGCCGTTTGCCCTCCGGATCGGCGCGGAGTCTGCGGACATTTTCGCATACGCAATACATACACGTACGCGTGCATACGTTGAAGCCCTTTCTGAGTGCCTGATCAACGGTTCGCGGTGAGGCTTGGCTTCTGGTTCAGGCCAGTCGCTTCAAGTTACCACTATGTCGGCGACTCGGCGCGAATCAGAACTTCGAATTCGAATACGGATGCATGTCCTGTGCATGTCTCCCCGCCACCGTCATCGTGACTTTGCATGAGGCAGTGCCGGACGGCCACATGCACCCTGACTAGAGTGGTGTACCGTTGGCATAGGCGGCGTAGTTCAAGGCACGCAAGCAAGAGTATTTATCAAGCTGATTGTTAACCGACTTCCTAGTGAGATCGATTTACCTGAGCACGCAGCACTGATACGTGTTGGCAGAATGCTCACAACTTGAAACAATTTAATGGTCCCCGGACAAGCTAGGTGAGTATTGATCGATGCCATAGAGGTCATCAGCGTGTTTGATAATTCGGCCCTAGTGATAAGTACGACGCCTCCATCGGATACTGCTAGGTTCGACTATACCCCGGGCAAGTGCTCGCTGGCATACGTACCGTCTACGCTACGTATGCGTTCTGCGAGGACAGCTACCTTCACTACAAGGTGGAATGTCAAGCCGTATTGGTGACCGTCATGCTTCACTCACTCTGCGCATATTCAGGTTGCAGCAGAGCGTGGCAGCTCAACCGTTTGCCATCGGCCTGACGAACAGCGTCAGTACGATTGGAAAATCGCGCCGCTTCACCGAGAAGCCCATCGGTAGTCACATACAGTCACGGTCAGTGCAGCTGGACACTCGCAGTCTTCAGATATCCACTCAGGACAATACTGACCTTGATGCCCGTAGAGCCTGCTTGTTTCGCCCAACCGGGGGACTGCGCGGAGCGCAGACCGCACCCGACCGTACGCTGTACGGTCGCATGCGGGAGCGCTCCGTGCGAGTCGTACCGCTAAACGTCTTCTCTATCACCTCAGGCTATCAATTGTCGTCGAGCTTTTTTCTCCTGATGTATATCCTCCAAGATCGAGCTGAAGAAAACATAGTTTCCCTAGAAAACGGTCGTCATGCTAGACTCTCCAAAAATATTTGACGCGAGTGCGTTTCGTCGAAGGGTCGCCTCTCGTCAAGGCCGATTGGATAAATGGATCCTGCGACCGAAAGGCGCCCTTTCGTTCGCAGAAAGCAGAGGTCAGTATGCTCATATGAAGACGTATACTGACCGTAAACAGTGATGCCACTGTGTAGGCTCGATCCCTCCGTTCAAACTGGAAACTGCACAGAGCGCAGACCGCACCCGACCGTTATATACGGTCGGATGCGGGAGCGCGCTGTGCGAGTTGTGCCGTCTGACGCATCCTTTGGTTGGCCGGTCGGTTGTCGTCGGCGTTCAATAAGCCAGCGGAGCCTTGCTACTCGAGAGAGGAGGGGATCTCGTGCTGAGGTTCGTTGCCCTCACCTACGCCTTAAATCCTAATGGCCTTGCATCGTAGCAGTACAACGAACCGGATGAATTCGACACATCAAGGGTGCCTTCGACCAGCACGGATCCTCGAGGCAAGTACAACAACTCCTCGTAGTTGGATTTCATCCATGCTTGCGGGAGAAGCTCTACTCCTGGATGGTGTCGCGGGGCTTGACGTCCCCGCCGCCGTGCAAGCAAGCATCGCATCGCATCGTTTTGTGCTCAATGCGGTGTCCGAAGCGGTGCCTTACATCCGATCCGGAGGTCATGGCGAGCACGCCCTTTGGCCTTCCCCGTGTCTGCGGAGCTCAACAGGGCCACAAAATCGATGTCGACGCTCGCTCGCCACTTCGGGGTATTACTGAGAACAGCCCCTTAGCGGTTCTGTCGAAGTTGTGTACCGCATGTTTCCCCAGCCTCATCTTGTCGGTATCGATGGCTTTCGTTACACTCAGACTGAGTTCCCGCCGCACGCATTACAACTGTCAGGGTATTTAAACTACATGAAGCATTGTCTAGTCTGCTTTACTGAAGAAGAAATACATAGGCTTGATAAGGAAATTCCCGATGCCACAGTACCTTCATAGACGCCAGGCACCTGTAGCAGATGCTGGCTGTGTGCACTGGAGGACCGCAGAAGACGTAGGATGCGACATATGTGATCACTACACAGCGGACAAAACCCTTTGTACGACGCGCCTACATGTCGCTTACAAAGGAGGATTGAGTACTAATTTAAGTCGCAAAGTTAGAAATCTTCGCATTGAAAG